GATTGCAACAAATGCCACTTGCCCGATGGCCGTTTGCCCGAAAAATGTAAATATTAAATAAAAAATTATATTACCAATTAGACATTCTCAATTAATTCAAGTTTGATAATCATCACAGTTCTAAAATCTAAGCATAAAAACAAATTTGTTTATATTTTTAAAATTAAGCTTTTATCTTTTTAAATATGAGAAAATTGTGTAAAAAACTGCTCTATTCTTTAATAAATGTAAGGTGACGTTGGCGGCGGTGTTCTAACATTCTTTTGATGTAAGTTTTGAACACCTTGTTTAGCCGACGTGATGCAGTCGTTAGATAGCGTTCATGACGCGTGGTAGGCGCGGCGTCTCGCAACATTGAACAGAGGCGCGTTTGTTGGATTTATCTTGTTGTGCTTAACTTGTATGGTGATCATTTCACAAAAGAATGAGGCGAGGTCTAGGCGAATTTAAAAACTGAAGGAATTCTGTTAAGTTTGATCTCCATTTAATGCACCTTGTTTAGACAATGTATTGAAGTGATTACTAATAAAGATAGTGCGATTCATTTTAAATTTGTTTGATAAACTTTTGTCTAATTCCATAGATAGAAAAGGAAATATGTTTGTACACTTTTTATAAAGCAAATATAAATTTATGAAGAATTTCTGCGTGGTAATATATAAATTAATTATTTTCCTTTTATTTTTGTTTAGATATGTATTGTTTATCAAATTTTCAAATTTAAATTGATTACACATGATTATTTGGTAATATATAATGTTAACATTTTTCGGACAAGTGGCCTTCGGGCATTTGTCGCATTCGGGCAAGTATCCATTCGGGCATTTGTCGCTTTCGGGCAAGTGTCCATTCGGGCGTTTGTCGCATTCGGGCAAGCAGAGGCGTAGCGACCCTTCCCGGCGCCCGGAGACAAACATTCAACATGACGCCCCCCGCGGGAGCGAATTTTCGATTTGCACCCCCCCCCCCCCCTCAACTTTTCGATTTGCACCCATCTCCCTTAAACTTTCGATTTGCACCCCCCCCCCCCTCAAACTGCAAAAATGCAGCTAAATTGACATTTTAATTTGTTTTTACAACCCATTTTGGCGCCCCCTGAGGTCGGCGTCCGGGACATATGTCCCCCCTGACCCCCCCCCCCCCCCATCGCTACGCCTCTGCGGGCAAGTGTCCATTCGGGAAATCGGCCTTCGGGCATACGGCATTCGGGCGAGTGCCTTTCGGGAATTTGTCATAGACCCATATGACTTACAAATGACTTACAACATTCCGTACTGGGCTATTGAAAAAAAAAGTAGATAGTAACGGCATAAGTAATACTTTGTCAAAATTAGCTTTGCTATCAATAAATGCTCTGCGTGTAATTTAAACGTAAAAGGGTGTAAATGTAAAAAAAAAATTAAAACGGGGACAGGAAACGTATGGAACTCGGGGTGAACTACTCGAGTTAAAAAAAAAACAACTAGTTACCTCTCTCTTTGATAGTACAACGAGTATACGCTTTAGATATGAGATGTCCATTCATTTATTTAAAATAAGTGTTGAGAAAACAGGTAGATGCCACATACAAATATACTGCATATTAAATAGTAGCAATATTAAATAATTAATTAATATTTAGGTATTCAATAGTGAAAGATGGTGTAAAAAAGTAATTAATGTAGACTTATAAGTCTACCTCCTTGCAACATCCAATCATATTCTCCTTGGTCATCCATTCGAGTGTCACAAAAGCAGTGGCGTAGCGAGGTCGGGTGTCACCCTGTGCGGCACAATGGTGTCACACCCCCCCCCCCCCACCCAGAGGCGCAGCGACTCTTCCCGGGGACAAATTTTCGATTTGCACCCCCCCGCCCCCCCTCAAACTTTCGATTTGCACCCCACCCCTCAAAGTTTTCTCTATATATTTTGCTATTTTTTTGCCTTTGTTTCACCCCCCCCCCCCTAAATAAACACGGCTTATTAATTAAGTAGTTGTTTTTTTCATGAACCTAAGAATTCATTTTAGCTTTTTTCAATGCTGCTCCAGCATCTTGATCTAGTATACGATAATCTTTTACCGTAATTGATTTTATTGATATCGTAAAATTAAATTATTATTAATATAACTTAAAAGCTATTTTATGAATGTTTACTAGATATGTACCAAAATATTCACTAAGATGAAAACTTTTATGTTTAACTAATGAGTTTAAATAGGTGAGCGTCCCATTCGATTTATAAACTTAATCAATCGTTTAGCCTGTCCAATATGTCAAACGTTATTGACTTTAACATAATTGGCGTATCGCTAAAATGTAATTAGCATGTGTGTAATGCATAAAGATTTTAAAACATGATCGTCGTGTGTACAAATTGATTTTTTTTCACCTATTCCCACTCGACTTTATCACAAGTAAGCTTAACACTTCCTTTATTTTAAAATAAGTTCGGTTATTCCCGCTATGTTCTAACACATTACGTATTTAAGGGCGCCAACATGTTTCATAGGGGAGGTCACCACCGGTGTTTCTACGCCCCCCCCCCCCCCTCCTCGCTTATTAATTACGATCTCCGAAAGTTTTAAGTGTCCCCCCCCCCCACAAATCGTCAAAAAGAAACACTGGAGCCCACGCACCCTAATTACACTATAGTATAGGGGAGTCTAATTTAAAAATGAAAATTATCTAAACATGCTAATTACCATTAGAATTTATAGTTATTAGTGTTATTAGTTGGAAATGTGTGACGTCATTAGAAGGAGAAGGGTTCATGTAGGCTATTTGATATTTCACGATTAGGGTTTGGAGGGGGGGGGTGTACAAGTCAACTCTAATAGTTACAGAGGCGTAGCGCCCCCTCCCGGCGACAAACTTTCGATTTGCACCCCCCCCCCCCAACTTTTGATTTGTTTTTCGAACCCATTTTGGCGCCCCTAAGGTCGGCGCCCGGGGACATATGTCCCCAGCCCCCCCCCCCCCCCCCCCCACTCGCTACGCTTCTGTAGTATTATGTCATTTCCTGGTCACTCCTAACTAGTTAATTCAACAATTGATGTAAATTACTTGTGTGATCCAATGTATCACATACATGATTTTGTATGAAGTTACCCCATAAGCTTCATGGAAACTTGTTTCATTTTTCAAACCCAAACACGTCTTGAAAGTTCTTGATCCTGAGCCTACTTTCTTTTCTGCTTTCATGTGTAACCTATTGGTATCAGCATCGGATTATATTCAGTCAGTTGGCGGGGTGGGGAGGGGGCAGAGGAGTAGCGAGGGGGGGGGGGCGGGGGTGCGGACCGCACCGGGTGACACCATTTAGGGGGGGTGACACCAAAGCAAAAAATAGCAAAATATAAAGAGAAAAACTTGAGGGGGAGGGGTGCAAATCGAAAGTTTGAGGCGGGGGGTGCAAATCGAAAACTTGAGGGGGGGGGGGTGCAAATCGAAAACTTGAGGTGGGTGCAAATCGAAATGTTGATAGTTTGTCCCCAGGAAGGGTCGCTACGCCTCTGGGGGGTGACACCATTAAGTGCCGCACCGGGTGATACCCGACATTGCTACGCCACTGGAAGGGGGTGGGGGTGTTGGTGATCTTCATACCCTGTTCCCCACCCATATTTTCACTTCCTTACTTCTTCCTATACTGGACTTTGGCCAAAGGTTGGCACTACTAATGTGTATGTAACTGAAGGCTGCATATCTGTAGAGTAAATTACCATATCTGAAAGTTAACTAACTGTAATTATGTACAAACTATTGATTATGTAAAGAATTTGCTGTGTCATGTTTTCATAAGACACAATGTGGCATTACTGACACAAATTATTATTACTTATTACAAATATGTAAAAGTCAATGTTACTTGATTACATTATTTAATGCCATGTTTAATGAAAGCTTATATAAAATTATACAACACAAACATAAGACTTTGTTATCCAACCCAATCGATCATACACAACACAAAGAAACCATGATAAACATACTTTCAAACTTTTGTTTTGAACATTTTTATAAACAGCTGTTACTGTTAACTAAATAATAGTACATAACAAAGTTCTAAATTTAATTTCCATTCTTTTAGTCTTGGTACTGAAACTTAAATAAGTTTCCCTAGGACAAAACATTTGTTTTGTTTAAAAGGTTAACACAAACCTAGCTCTAACAGCGATGTTGAACGTGATTCAACATTAGTAGGCCTATCCATCAGATAAAATAACTGTTAAAGAACAGGTTTTAAGAAAAAACTTAATCTAAATGTAAAAATATTCAAGTTTTATATTATTTTTTCACACTGAAGATGTTTAAAAAAACTTCTGATGTTTTGTAAGGATTTAACACAATAGGACAGAGAAAATACATTCAATTAACTTGGGGAAAAATTTATTAAAACATTAACTTATTACAGTCAACTGTTGGCTATTAATAGCAAGCACATAGCACTCATTTAATTTTTTGTACAGGTTATGTTAAGCATTCATACTTATGCTCTGTATAAAATTAGGTACATAAATGATAGTTAAAACATAAAGTTTCTAATGCAAAGCTGAACATAAAAACAAAAATTATTAAGTATATACAAATAAGCCTACTTGATATTTTTTATCATCACATATCTAAATCATTCATGTAACCTAACAATTTTGGTAAACTAAATTAAAAGCAATAAGTAGCAACTAAATATGTTGTAACTTCGTGTCAAAAAGGGAAAAGAGAGCTATTTATGTTTTGCCCATGAAAACTAAAATTATTTGCTATAGAGATACTCAACAAAGTCATACATGCATTATTTTATCAGCAAACAAATTACACTTTAAACAACGCAATTATTTAAAGCTATGATAGAGAAATTATAGGATACAAAAAAATGAATGTAATGAAATACAGTCGTCAATTTCTATTATAGAATAGGGTAATCTTCAAAACAGTAATTGTGTTATTTAAAATAGTTTGTAGTCACACGTTAAATTTCAAACGCACTCCCTACTTATCAGAAAGAGCATTAGCTATGTTTACTCAAAGCTTCATCAAACACATCCCAATCTACTGAAACAGAATGGAGCTCCTCCGCCTCTTTGAACACTTTCCTAAGGTGTTCAAATGTGGCATCTTTTCCTACTCTCTGCCGCCATTTCATCAACAAGCCTGGGATTGCTCTGTTCACATTGTGGCCATTGTTCTCCAACTCCAGCTCAATTTGAGCTTTCTTGAAGCCAAGTATCAGCATCACACTTTCCCAGTTACTTCCAAATACACCTACCAGTCTACTGATATCAGCGTTTGTTAACAGACCAGACATGATGTTAAAGTGAGGTGTGTAGATCAATATCAAATCTTCAATGTATATACTATGTCAGGGTGTTTCACTGTAAACAAATGACAGAGAAGTCCATACATGAAGATGAAGGAGAATGTATCTGTTTTAATAAGGTCTGCAGTTATCACCTAGCACAGCCACTTTATATTTTCCTGTCAGGTGTAAGTGATGTTAGGAGAGTCGACTCAATGGAACAAAACTGGTGAATAAACAAAATTGAGTCGAGCTACATAAAAGTAAAATAATTAGGTTTATTGTATATACTATGCCAAAATATTTATTTAAATATCGAAAGGCTAACCAAAATACTATTAATATTGGGTCTATACTTAATCACAAATAGCTTATTTAAATTACATAAGAAAATTAAGTCAGCTTCCTTATTAAAAACCTTATAGAAATTTTACAAAAAGAGAGTTACCTGCCCTTTCTTAAGATAAATCCTATTGTTTTCTCCCCTTTTAATATTGCATTTTGTAATCTTTAAATTTATTTTAATGACTAATTCATTATCTTATTAAATTTTTTAAAATTCCTTTGTATTCAGAGATTAATATATGTGTAAAAATTATATGAAATCACAGTATTGGTAAGGGGTCGGCGTGGTCGAGTCGGTAAAGCTCATGGTTGCTAAGCCGAAAAGTCTCGAGTTCGAACCCTCGGGCAGATGAGGCTCGTTAGCTGGGGACAGCCACTCTTCTAGGAGAGACAACTCCAAAATTAAACATCTGCTGCCTTGTAGTTTGTTCTTGGTTGGACAAAGGCTATGGAAGCAAATCCAAAAAGAAAAGCAGGCTGAAATCGGAGTCAATGGCCTAAATGGCGCATAACCAGTTGACACGTAACGCTTAATTGTGTTGTAGGCGTGGTCGAGTCGGTAAAAAGCTCATGGTTGATAAATTCGAACAAAGTCTCGAGTTAAAACCCACTGGCAGATAAATCTCGATCCGCTTCAACACTAATAATTAAGAACGAAGAAGAAGACAGTACTGGTAGAAGATAGTCAAAACTGAATAACAAGTTTTACAACAAACCTACAGACAACCAGACATTGTAAAATCAATTCTACTATCTACTTCTATAGTAATAATACTCATAGTAGTTGTGGTGGCGTAGATGCAGGTGTAGGATAGACAGTGTACGTGACGCAGACGATCGACGAAGCACGGGTTAGAATTAGACATCATTGTGGGGGGTAGGTGTAGCAGACACGTATTTAGTTGGCCTGGGTGACCGTAATGGGGGTAGTTTATTAGCAGGGTCTGACATTTTAATCAGGTACTCCAGAACTGTGGCGACATGCAAATTAGGTTAGACAGGATGGACAAGACAAAGAAGTGAGGACGATGAGGGTTAGGAGACAGTTGAATCTAGGCAGTCGGGGTTGAGAATTTGTAGTGAGAGGACGTGTACAATTGTAGAGTTAGGGAACAGTGTAGTGACAATAGTGTAGGAAACATTGAACACTAGGTGTAGAAAAGAAGTATATATTGTGTCAAGTCTAGTATATTCAAGCATCGGATGTGTAATAATTAAATGTTGTGAATTAAATTGACCTTCGAGTTGTCTTATTTATAGCACGGAATTGAGAGTATTCTCGTCCTCGTCACAGTAGTAAATATATGTTCGTTTATAAGAAGGAAAGTAATAAAATAATAAGAAGAGAAGCCAATTCCCCCCACCACATATTGGTGGAGCACAGTGGTTCGTAGTCCGTGCAAGGAAAAGTGTTTGAAACATTTGATTCGTCCAGAAGTGGTGTTTGAGTTTATCAGAAGTGCTACAAGTTATCGCAAGGAAGCAAAGATAAGTACCTTCCTCTAATTTTATTCAAATAACAGGGATTTTAGATCCTGTGCTGGATATTATACCAGTATTTTTGTTTATTGTTTTGTATTTGTCTATCAGTAATTAGCTTTTATAGGTTTGTTACTCTTAAATTGGCTGAGGCTTCCTAATTAAAGGACACATTGGGTGTAGGCCTGCTATTTAAGAGGTACATATTTATAGTTAGCTGTATCACGTAATGTTCGCATTATCGTGTCTATAATCTATAGTGTAACTCATGTCTTCTATATAACCTGTCACGTGTTACTACTGTGGTAGGCTACATTTATTTTTACTTTCGTCCATTTATGTGTATCGTCCTGTTCAGTTAGAGTTATTTTGATATCCATTTTTTTTCCACGCATCACCTATATTACATCACACTAAAACATGCCTCCATTTAATGAGCTTCTAACTAAAACTGAGCCCGAGTTAGGCTTAGCATATACCATTGGTGAACCATCGCTGAAGAAGAACAAAGATGGAAAGCAAGACAAAGTTGTCGATGAAGATAAATTATTTGAGTTAGTCCAATTACGACTTTTAGAGGATGCAGAACAGAAAAGACTATGTCAAGTGGCGTTAGCCCACTATAGAGTTCAGCTAGAGGCCAAACGAGAAGAAGAATCCGTTCAAGCTAAAGCTAAATTAGATGAGAAAAAACGTGAGGCAGAAGTTGAACTTATGTTTGCCGAGGCACGGAAAGAAAAAGAAAAAGAATCCGAACTTCGTAGAGCCGAGAATAAAAAAGAATTTGAACTTTATAAAGCCGAGATTGAAAAACAAACTGAACATGAAATAAGTGAAATGAGACTACAAGTAGAAATAAGGCGAAAAGAAGTAGAAGAAGAACTACGTCAATATAAATTAAAGTTAGAGAATCGATCACAGCAACCTAAACACCATGAGTCAATGCTACAACAAAAAGCAGAGCTACCTAGATCTACTTATGAATATCACTACGATTCAGATGACTCATACAGTGAAACAGAGAGCAAGCCTACTACAAAAATTGATACGCCACACTCAGTTCAAGAAGATACCACAACAGACCACAACATACAGAGGAACTATTGTCGACAAAAGAACTATCACAATATCAGATGTTATTACTGCAATAGATCAGGTCATAAAAGGGTTAATTGTAAGAAACTATATGATGATAGACTCCAGCGGAATATACAGCAGAATAGACGTCAATACAAGAGACCAATTTATAGATCAGCATACATTACATCTTTTAGTGAAGCCAGCAACAGGAAAGACACATTTACAGCCAATATTAACAACAGATTTGCACGAGCCATAAGGGACACACGATGCTCAACAATAGCTGTTACAAGCTACTTTGTTAGACGACATCAATGCACAGGCAGAACACAACATGTCCAGAGTTCACGAGGCATAACATATGTTTTGCCAACAGCAATAATCCAGATTAGCACGCCATCAACAACAAGAACAGTAGAAGCTGTTGTGTTTAGATATGGTCCACACGATCTTATCCTAGGCAACATCAGAGGTGTTAAACAATTTCAAGTTGAGAATGACATGAACCATACAACACAAGTAAGAAGCGAACAGGCCAACACACAAAGTTCTATCAAACCGGTAGACAAAACGATGTACGATCTACAGAAAAGAAGTAATAATTTGGTGTTAGACATGAACACAGTTATTGAAGAGTTGTCTAAAAAAATCACAGAAATCGGCTCAGTTGTTCTCAGTTTGAGAAAACAGAATGATCAACTTAATGACAGATTGCTCAGATTAGAGAAAAAAGTCAACAATGAAAATGAAGAATATGTCCTAAATAATTCAATTGGTGAGAAAGCTTACTACTATTCCTGGTCAGCACTTAATCAGACAATGTCAGAAGTACAAGAAACTACAGAGCCTAAAGAAATGACCTGCACGCGAGTACAAGACAGACGACGGACCTGTTCAACCCTAACCTTAACCTAGCGCCCCATGTGCTTTACCCCATGACGGATAGAACTTGGACCACGCACACCCACTTACGAACGGTTTTGAACAACGTTTACACAAGGATTAACAAGTAAAGTAAATTCAAGTTATCGAACAGTATGATATAAGTCGTCGAAAATATCGGCGTGAAACGATGTGTCACTTTTGATGTTACAGAAAGAAGATGTTGTCATTACATAGTATAATGAGAGTTGCTCCATTATAACCATAAAGAGAAGAATGTCTTAAAGTTTCTATGAGAAGTTGAATATTTATGATGATGCACAGTCTACAGTCACAGGCAGAGAGCTGCTCCTGCACTACAGATATGTGACACGCAAAGCACACATGTCTTTTCTTTATTTGTATCTAATCTAATTCTGTTGGAAGACCAATTATGTAGTTGATGATTATTATAATGTAGTTAGTATTATTGTTGATGATTATAATGTAGTTACCATTGTTGTTGTTATGTAGTGTGTCGTGGACAAATAACCAGCACATCAAAATTTGGTGGGATTATTTTTATAAGAGGAAGGTTATTTGTCTGACGGGCACAAACGTCGCTAACGAGGCATATGTTTAATACGACGTGTCAATTCATATTTTCTCAGAAACAACCATGAGAGACAGTCTGATATGACGTATCCTTGCGCTGCCGCCCTCGCCAATGTCATCGTAAAGCTAACTCGTCGACAACAAACACCACGTCTCTAAATTTGCTACAGCAAACGACAACACATTTACAAGGACAAATACACATAAACATCATCAAGGACACTACAACATAAGCAGATCAGCCGAACAACACATCGACAGGAGCAGTTCATCAGATCAACACATCTACAGGAGCAGTTCATCAGATCAACACATCGACAGGAGCAGTTCATCAGATCAACACATCTACAGGAGCAGTTCATCAGATCAACACATCGACAGGAGCAGTTCATCAGATCAACACATCGACAGGAGCAGTTCATCAGATCAACACATCGACAGGAGCAGTTCATCAGATCAACACATCGACAGGAGCAGTTCATCAGATCAACACATCGACAGGAGCAGTTCATCAGATCAACACATCGACAGGAGCAGTTCATCAGATCAACACATCGACAGGAGCAGTTCATCAGATCAACACATCGACAGGAGCAGTTCATCAGATCAACACATCGACAGGAGCAGTT